AAGAGTCTTGGAGATCACATGGAAGACATTTTATTTAGCCTTTCTTTCTTTTTTTTCCTCACAAGGGCAACCAGCTACAAGTAGGAAGAAGTAGGGAGTTTCTCCTCTCATGTTCATCAGTAACTGGAATAGCATGAAGCTACATATGTACTACCCTGTTTCCCTGAAAATAAGACCTCCCCAGATAATAAGTCCAATGGGCTTTTGAGCGCATACGCTAAAATAAGCCCTCCCCTGAAAATTAGCCCTCTCCAAAAATATATGCAACACAACAGCAACTATGAGGTGACCACATTCGCCACCTCCTGCACCTCAAAAATAATAAGACCTCCCCAAAAATAAGGCCATGTGCTTATTTTGGGGGGGGTTGTCAAAAGAAAATAAGAACCTGTTTTATTTTTGGGAAATTAGGTAGTTTCCAGGTAACCACATGAACATGTCCATGCAGTTTTCTTGACCACACTACAAATCTGAGCCGAGGTGGCGCAGTGGTTAGAGTGCAGTACTTCAGGCTACTTCAGCTGACTGCTAGCTGCAGTTCAGCAGTTCAAATCTCACCTGGCTCAAAAGCTGACTCAGCCTTCCATCCTTCCGAGGTGGGTAAAATGAGGACCCAGATTGGGGGCAATATGCTGACTCTGTAAACCGCTTAGAGAGGGCTATAAAGTACTATAAAGCGGTATATAAGTTTAAGTGGTATGTGCTATTGCTAATCTGTTCTGCCAATATCTTTGTTGAGGATATATTTTTCCAGTTCCCAGTCTACTCTTCAATCCTACAATTCCCTGGTTTTATCTCCTCCAAGGGTTAACAACCTAATCTTGCTTAACTGGGTGAGATGAAGAAGAATTCTGGCTTCCAAAACGCCACTTCTTTGATCTCTTCTATGACAGGTACTGTGTTGAGTTCCAGCTCATGGCCATCACAGAAGGCTGCCTGCATGGGAATAGTTCCTACACTCATTGGATGAAGTATCTCAGTGAAGGACACACAGTGTGTGTGGAATGTCAACATCCAGCCCTAGATCGCAAGAGTCTACACTGCTCCGGGGATGGGAGTGGAGCTAAGAAGTAAGAATTAATTACGTCTTTTGCTTAGTGGGGAAATGTGTATTGGGTCATTTTAAATTCATGTCACTCAAATGTTGTACTGCAAGAAAGAAATAATATAAAAGTGAGATTGAAAAGTCCTGGGTAACTGTTGTAGGGATTGTTGTTGCACATGTCCTATGGCTCTTTTTCTGGAGCTTCTGAAGATGCTATCCCAGAAAAGGTGCTAAATTTGTTATGCTATAATATGGGCTTGTTCATACATGCAAAAGTAAAACCTGTTTAACCTATATTGGGTGATAGATTCCTTGGTCTTGACACCAATAAAGCAATGTATCTGAGTTAATGTGAGAGGACTCTGCAGATGTGATGAACAAGCCAAGCCATCAGGTCTTCCTGCAGCAGCTGGATCATCAGTTGGGGAGGTCAAAAGGTCAAGATGGGTAGAACCATGCAATCAAAGCTTCACTCCTTTTAGACACGTTTGAACATATAAAAACCAACAGGACCTTGATTGTGGCCACCATTTTGTTTTTTTTTAAAAAAAGTATCTCTCCCATTGATACCCAAAATAGTAGCTACTAATAACATATACGGTGGCTGAATGGCTAAGATGCTGAGTTTATCGATCAGAAAGATCGGCAGTTCGGTGGTTCGAATCCCTAGCATCGCGTAACGGAGCGAGCTCTTGTTACTTGTCCCAGCTTTTGCCAACCTAGCAGTTTGAAAGCACATAAAAAATGCAAGTAGAAAAACAGGCACCACTTTGGTGGGAAGGGAACAACGTTCCGTGCGCCTTCGGCATTTAGTCATGCCGGCCACATGACCACGGAGATGTCTTCGGACAGCGCTGGTTCTTCGGCTTTGAAACGGAAATGAGCACTGCCCCCTAGAGTCGGGAACAACTAGCACATATGTGTGAAGGTAACCTTTACCTTTACTTTAATAACATGTACTTGTGAATTAGACATGCCTCAAGAAGACAGCAGGGAGCTAGGATACAGCAAAGGTCAACTGGGTTGGCAGAGTGCAGGGTGATGAGATTGACCATGGATGAAACTGGGGTGTCTGCAGCTTCCCAGGGCATGGCAAGACACCCCCAGAGCTGCACGGTTCTGGGCTGAGGCAGAGGGGAGATAGGTGAGTGGGAGGGGGAGTTGAAGCCACCCCCTAATCTTACTGAGGGTCAAGCTGGGAGAGACAAAGGCCAATACTCAGCAACCTGAACTTATTGGTTCACAATTGGGGCAATTAGGATTGCAGTCGCTACAGTCATGCAACATCTCACTGTACAACATCAGCACTTAGCGACATAAATTACTAGCAGTACAAGGGGCCCCTAGCACACACTGTTGCTGAGCTCTCATCCATAGTAGTCTACAGTGTACAGCAGTTAACAGCTTAATTCCCCCTTGCCTTTCACTGCTAATGAACTTAAGTTGCTTTGTTTCGGGACTTGAAATAAATTTTGCTTTATACATGAAATATGTTTATTAGAAGCAATAGATGTGTTTAGTACAAAACTAAAGCCCATCAGATACAATTTATTTATAGTATTAAGCAAGAAGATTAAGCATTTTCTGCATGCCTGGTTTCAGCATACAGCTGCAAAATTATTTCAACAGCGCCCAATAGCAGCAAGTATAACTGAAGCTATAAAATATAGTAAAAATGCAAGTGAAAGTTAAAGCCTGATATAATTATGTTCTGCCCAGAAATAAATGTATGAGAAGGTGAAACTGAAAATGGAGAATTTCAGACTGCTAGGAGAAAGTCTCAAACTTCCATAAATGCATGATTGACGTATTTCATTTCTTCCATCTGGAGATGACTTGTAAGGATGAGCGAATCTTGCCTATTAATTATCACAAAGAGAACTTTTTGTTAAGCTGAGGTTTTGGGAATTGTAGCAGAGATGGGCTTCACTTAATTTAACAACCGGTTCGCCTAGTGCAGAATCGAAAATGTGAGCGCGCACATGGGGCTTCAAACACATGGCAATTTCATGCGCTTGGCTTCCAGCACACTTTCTCGAGCAGCCGCAGTGCAAGGCATGGAAATCAGCAGGGCTGCATGGGCAGGCGAATCTTGTGACCCAGTGAGTGAGATATATAGGACGGGATGGCGCCAGGGCAGGGGGGGCGGAGATAGCATTGGGGGGGGCAGGCTCAGCCGGTGGTTGGAACTACTGGTTTGCCCGAACCGGCAGCAGCCCCCCTCTGAATTGTAGTCTTATACATCTAAAAAGAACTAGGTTGGGAAAACTTGCTGCATGCATTTTGATAAAACAAATTAAGCAACGAATTAGAAAAATTGAAAAAGGGCAAGGATTAAGAGATGCATCTCTGTGTTACTTATGGAAGCAGAAATTAGAGCAAATTTGTGTACCAAACAAATTTTGCAAGCATCATTTTGTTTTTTATTTGTTTCTTTTGTACAGTATTTCCTCCCCTGTTTTGGAAATATTTATGTAAATCTGCTGGTTCTTTGTTAGTGCATACAGATTAGAAATTTATGCCAGTTCTTTCTTGACAAACTAAAGTGTGATCCACACAGTTTCCTTTTACTGGCTTGAGGATGGATACTTACTGTTTATTGAGGACATCTTGATGCCAGGCTGAGGCAGGGGATGAATGTGATCTGGCATGAAAATAGTGGAAGAAGACTTCCTATGCAGTCATTCTAGGTTGCATGGAGAAAAGGGATGTTTGTATCAAAGAACTACTGGCTTTCAATTGGCCCACTGCAGGACTACCTTCTCCTATTTGGCCTCTGAGCCAGATGTCTTATTGTCTTATTTCTTTTTTCTATGAGACAAACAAACATCCAGGGTTCATTAATGTTTTGCTGTTTGGATATGTTGCTCTTCTTTTGCTCCCTAAAAACAAACCAACCAACAAACAAACAAGAAAGTGTAATATGGTTGAACTACTACAGTTTCACCCCAGCCTCCAGGGAAATAGTTTCTCAGTGATGAAAGTAGCTTCATGGCTTCAGGACGTCAGCTCATTTAATTCGCATGCGAGTATGGCTGCAATGTTTTGTTGAATCAGCTGAGCCATGCCTGGAATGTCTCGTGAGGTTTCACTTGGTGCAACTGGAGACATCTGTCAATATTCCTGTCCTCCTTGCTTCTTCCTGAAATAGACTTAAGAGACATTGATCAAATCTACGAGGGGATATGGTGACATGAAGACCTGCCTGCCATGATCACTTGAGAAGATAGAACAGTTGAGGAAAGTCTTTAGAAGGGAGGGCAAGAGGAGAATACACTCTGAAGATCATTCATCTATTCAAAGAATTCTGTGAAAGGATAGAATGGCTGGGAGATTTCCTCTTCCTTTTTAATGGCAAATAGGCGAATAGGATTGGAGCCAAAGTTTGGAGAAATCCATGGTTTACAGAAATAAATACCCTTTCAGCATCACACAGTTACTTCACATTTTTAGTGCCTTTGACAAATCGACTCTTAAGTTCATTTTGTGCCTTATCGATTTATTCAGTACATATGGGCTTAAGAAATAGATTCTAAAAGCTGCAATCAATTTGTACACTATACATCTTTGGTACTTAAACAGGCAGCCTTTTAAATGAGGGAGTAAAATTTAGAGGGTTTTTTTTTAAAA